GGCCGTGCTCCGGGTCCCGACGGAATACCGGTGGAATTATACCAGCGTACTAACTGTGCACCCTTACTGGCTGCCGTTTTTACAGCTATGGGGGAACTAGATAGGGTCCCGACTGGCTTTCTGGACGGCATTATTTCCTCTTTTTTTAAAGCGGATGACCCTACGGTGCCGGGAAATTATAGACCCATTACGCTGCTTGGTACAGACTATCGAACTCTCGCACGTGTTCTCAAGCAACGCCTATTGCCGCTGTTTAACCGCGTCATAGACACGGAGCAGACAGCCTTCCTCACAGGCAGGCGAATCGCGGATAGTGTGCTCCTCTTACAACTGCTGCCCGCGCTTCTCCATATGGAGCGCCGTACTTGTGTGGCAGCTTTCCTTCACTTCTACAAAGCCTACGATACCCTAGATAGAGACTTTCTGTTCGCGTGTCTGGATGAATTGGGGGTAGGTGTGGGCTTTATTGCTTGGGTTCGACGTCTGCATACTAGTACGCAATCAGCGGCGATTGTCAATGGCTACCTTTCGTACTGGGTTATTATAGCGGCTGGCGTCAGGCAAGGCTGTCCGCTTGCCCCCATCCTATACCTTGCGCCAGCACAAGCATTATTAACTTGGCTTCAATATCAACAAATCGGCATAAGTTTGCGTGACATTCACCTCGCTGCGTCACAGTATGCGGATGATTGTGGTGCCTTTTTACGTCGCCTAGCGGACATTCCCCGCTTCAAAGCTGTCATGGATGTTTTCCACGCAGCCTCGGGACAACGACTCAACAATCGCAAGGTTGAGCTCTTGCCGCCAGTGTTTTTTTTTAAGTAATATATTACTTTTAAGGAATAAAGAGGCCTTTTTGGCCTTTGGAAATAAGGAACAAAGTGAGGCCGATCCGTACATTTTCATTCCTTCAGCCAAAAACGTCCATTGCTGCCAGATTGCTCCGTAGTGTGCAGAACTTAGTATTATCGATCATAAAATAGATATGAGGGGCCGTAAGAAGGTCAAGCCCGTGAGTCAACGCGGCATAGCAGAATGTATGACCGGTCCTTCCATAGACAAACACGCAAAAGGCAACGTCTTGAACGCCGAACAAACACAAAAACAGCAAGATAAGTCTGAAATTTTTCCTGATAAAGGCGTTTGGGACGGCGGTGCTGTTGTCGGTAATGCATCGGCAATGTTGCTGCCAGCGGCGACCGATGACACGGGCGCCATTACCCCTGCCTTCCATGGCGGTTGTGATCAGCATAAGCGCAAGCTGTCACCCAATCAGCTTGACAACAACGAATGCGGCGAGGCGCCCAACCCGAGCGCTCGCAGTGCCAAGCGGGCTCAGACACAGCTTTCGGCTTTGGCCCAGCTGGTGTTAGTGATGGTGCCAGGGTCGGTGGAGGATGAGCGGCGGTTCTCGGCCATGGGGTACTTGCAGGACCCCACCCGCAACCGCCTGGACGAGCACCTAGCATTGTGTGTGCGGATGTTTACCCAGGACCTGTTCGACCTGGGCACGTTCCCGTTCCTTGACGCACTGAGGAAGTGGCTGGACAGCAGCAGCAGGGGCCGGTACATGATGAACCGGTAGAGTCCCAGTGTGCTGTGGTTTGCAGTGGCAGGTGACGGCCTTTGATTTGCTATGCGGTTGCTTGCTTTGGGCCTTTGCTTGGTCGGATTTACTTTTTGTTCACAAACAGTGCCAGAACTATCTATGCATGTGCATGAAGCGTGCGCACATGAACGAAAACGCGCCAACGCAGTGTGTGCCTCTTGGTCTATGAGGGGAGTTGTAACTTATCGGGGGGGGG